TGACCTCCAGACTGCCCCTCGGGCTCCAGACGCTCCCCGAACTTCTCCGGGATGTGTAAGTTAGAGATTTCTTCTGTTCCTGCGTTTTGGTCCTGCCTCCTCCTTGTGCCTTACCTGACTGACACCCCAGAGCCTACCTTTCCACCTGGCCAGGGCTCTCCTGGAGAGGGGCTGGTTTCTGGCCTCCTTTAAAGAGAGACCACAAGACCAAATTAGAGAGAAACCTAAATAAATAAATCACAACAGAAAGCTTGGTTGTTTACTTATAATACATATTTATGATGTAAAATGTGTTCATTGTAGATTTAGAACACACTGGACCTAGCTCTAAATGGCACTGCTGTCTTGTGGTCTGCAGTTATTCCTCATTTCATTTTCCACTTGAAGTCATTGTGTTCCCTCAGTTTATAAACACCTTGAATTCTTTTCTGAAAAGACAATTTAACTTGATAGGGCATCCCCCTTAGGAACCATAACCCCCAATGCAGAACATATTAAACGTGCAGAACTGTGAGCACCATGTCCTATGTTATTCAAGAAAGAAAATAATGTTGAAAGGCAGGAAAGTCCTTATGAAGAAGTTTAAAGGGGTAGAAGAATAGAGAGATGAACTGGATATGGAAAAAGTCAGTTTTCCTTTCCTTTAGGCATAAGCCCCTTTGGAAACTAGCTAGTAAAAGTCACAGTCCCTTTAGATGGCAAGGTTAGTGAATACTAAGAAAACACTATGGTTCACATGTTCATCGTGGAAAGCACACCTGTAATATTTCATCTGGTCTCTCAGTGACCCTATAAGAAACATGAGACATTTTCAGATGAGGTGATTGGGCTTCAGGGTGAAATTAGGAGACTGGTAATACTTACATAGAGAGAAAGTGGTGGAACTGAATTCAAATCCAAATTCTTCCAACTGTAAGCACAGGGCAATTTCCACAAATCCGCCCACTAACCAGAGAAATGTGATTTATCCAAACATTTAAATTGATGCTATGGCCAGTTGAGTATAGTTTTGGCCTATACTTTTGATTCCTCACTACCAGCCTATCACTGTTTATCTGATATGGGCAGCAGAATTAAGACATAATGAAGTCCAATAGAATCTCTCATTATTTGTGTAGATACAGCAGTAACAGAGACGGTGATATAGTTTGGACGTTTGGCCCCTCCAAATCTCATGTTGAAATGTAATCCCCAGTGTTGGAGGTAGGGCCTGCTGGGAGGGAGGTGTTGGCTCATGGGGCAGATCCTTCATGAATGGCTGGGTGCTCTCCTCACGGTAATGGCTGAATTCTTGCTCTTGTCACTCACTGAGATCTGGTTGTTAAAGGTGGTACTGCCCCCATCTCTCTCTTGCTTCCTTTCTCACCATGTTAGGTGCCAGCTCCCCTTTGTCTTCTGCCATGATTGTAAGCTCCCTGAGGCCTCACAAGAAGCCGATGCTGATGCCATGCTTCTTGGGCAGTCTGTACAACCATGATTCTAATCACCCTCATTTCCCTATAAATTACCCAGCGTCAGGTATCCCTTTATTACAGCAATGCAAATTGGAGTAATACAGATAGGGAGATATAGATGTTAATTTAAAACGTGTTTATATACTGCCTAATATTCTCACTGAGACTGGGAGGTGTTAGAGATACGTAATTGAAAACAAAATACCCTCCCAACCAAGAAAACTTCTCCACAAAGGTAGAAGAGAAAGAAAACAGTTTTTAAAATATTATTTAATTTCCTGGGTACGTGTGCAGAACGTGCAGGTTTGTTACATAGGTATACAGGTGTCTTGGTGCTTTGCTGTATCTGATCCTCCCATCATCTACACTAGGTATTTCTCCTAAGGTTATCCCTTCCCAATCTCCCCACCCCTGCCTCTTCCTCCCCTAGCCCTCACCTCCCACCTGCAGGCCCCAGTGTGTGATGTTCCCCTCCCTATGATGTTCCTCCTCCCCCCATTAGAAAAACACTCTAACGATAGTTTCTTTTCCTGTGCACAAGTTCTTAAGTTTAATTAGGTCCCACTTGTCTATTTTGGCTTTTGTTGCCATTGCTTTTGGTGTTTTAGTCATGAAGTCCTTGCCTATGCTTATGTCCAGAATGGTATTGCCTAGGTTTTCTTCTCAGGTTTTTATGGTGTCAGGTCTTATGTTTAAATCTTTAATCCATCTGCAGTTAATTTTTGTATAAGGTGCAAGGAAGGGATCCAGTTTCAGCTTTCTGCATATGGCTAGCCAGTTTTCCCAACACCATTTGTTAAATAGGGTAACCTTTCCCCATTGCTTGTTTTTGTCAGGTTTGTCAAAGATCAGGCAGTTGTAGCTGTGTGGTGTTACTTTCAAGGCCTCTGTTCTGTCCCATTGGTCTATATATCTGTTTTGGTACCAGCACCATGCTGTTTTGATTCCTGTAGCCTTGTAGTATAGTTTGAAGTCAGGTAGTATGATGCCTCCAGAATTGTGTGCTTAGGATTGTCTTGGTTCTCTGTGTTGGTTCTCTTTTGGTTCCATATAAAGCTTAAGGTGGTTTTTTCCAATTCTATGAAGAAAGTCATTGGTAGCTTGATGGAGATAGCATTGAATGTGTAAATCATTTTGGGCAGTATGGCCATTTTTGCAATATCGATTCCTCCTAACCATGAGCATGAAATGTTTTTCTATCTGTTTGTGTCCTCTCTCCTTTTCTTGAGCAGTGGTGTGTCACTCTTTTTGAAGAGGTCCTTCACATCTTTTGTTAGTTGTAATTCTATGTATTTTATTCCCTTTGTAGCAGTTGTGAATGGGAGTTCAGTCATGATTTGGCTCTGTGTCCATTGTGTATAGTAATGCTTGCGATTTTTGCACATTGATTTTGTATCCTGAGACTTTGGTGAAGTTGCTTATCAGCTTAAGGAGATTTTGGGCTGAGACAATGGGGTCCTTTAAATGTACAATCATGTCATGTGCAAATAGAGACAATCTGACTTCCTCTTTTCCTAATTGAATAACCTTTATTTCTTTTAGCATTAAACCAGAGTGAGATGCACATCTCAGGAAATCAGCTCAGAAATTGCAACGGCAGAAAAAAAAAATCTCACCTTTTTAAATAACAAGGAGATATAACTTTTAACGTACACATTCTCAAGGTAAGTAATAACTTGTCCTCAAGGGGACTTTACAGTACCATTTGTCACACACCTTTCATTTTAAATTTTCTTAGTAGTTGGAGGAACCATCTGTGTTTGACAGTTGGCTTTATTCAAAGAAAAAAATAAACTTCTTATGTCTTTATAAAAGTAGGTTTTCTTGCAACTTGGAGAAAGCTGCCTGCTGAACTTACCCTCCCAGCCTCCTACTGAACCTGAGAAATGGAGGTGTTATCTTTCTTGATAATTTTCAAAGTGATGATTCCCAGGCTTTGAGAGCAGCATCCCTGGGTCTTAAAGCTAACAAGAGACTAAGTTATATTTTAAGAATATTTATGTACATTTCAAAATGACAAAGATGTACAAGCTTTCTAAAGTAAATGCCCTAAGCAAAAGGTGCCTCTTTTCTTATTTTGAACGTGGAGAATATATTAGTCAGTTAGTCATTATAGGCTTCCTAACAAAACACTACGGATTGGGTAACTTAAACAACAGATGTTTATTCCCTCAGTGTTCTCGAGGCTGAAAGGCCAGGATGAAGGTGCCAGGGGGGCTGGCTTTTGGTGAGACTGCTCTTCCTATCTTGGAGACAGTTACCTTTTCACTCTCTGCCATGTGTGCTTTTCTGCATGCACAGAGAGAGAGATCTCTTGTGTCTCTTTCTCCTTTTAGAAGAACACCAGTCTTATCTTACTGAAGCCCAACCTTTGTCATCTCATCTAACCTTAATTAGCTCTCTAAAGGCCCTTTCTGCCAATAAAGTCACACTGGAGGGTAGGACTTTCACATACAAATTTAGTGTGGGGCACAATTCCGTCCTTAACAAAGAGTTGAGCTTCTTATTTTTAGTTGGCATTTGTCCTTATGGGAATAACCAGCCAGGCTAAGTCCTTCTCATCGTGGGGCATGTGTTAGAAGAAGAGATGATCATAAGAGAGTACATGTATCACTTGGAAGTAATAATCAAGGAAAGAAAGAGTGATGAGTGAAGGCCCTTGGCTCAAGGATGAAAAGACACCAGCCAGCTCCTGGTTAGCCAGACAGTAAATCGAGCATTCCTGATGATTTGGAAAGAAAAGAATGGAGCTAGAAAAACCAATTCATGGAAGCAGAATCGTCTAGATAATCAGTGATATAACTAAGCTGTATTAAGACTATTAGGACATCAATCAATAATTTATCAACATTCCACTTACATATTCATTTATGCACTCAACATTTAATTGCCCCTAGATTCATTGTACACACCAGTATGGTTGAAAACTACCCAGATAATTTTTTCCTTCCTGCAATCACTCACTATCAGTGCAGAGTTCATGAAACTATTAATTAGGTTTCAACTTAGATTTCAATTTCAAGCTGTTGTCATGTTGATTTTACACAAATACTTATGAGGTGAAATGACAGAATTCTCCTCCTACCAGTACAGCTCACAAAACCCATGAAACATTTATATGGCTTGAAGCATCGTATGTGCTCAGTTTATGGTGAGAAAATAGTTATCTCCATTTCTTCCCAGTTTTAAAAAACAACCAGCAACTAATTGATATAGTATAACTCACTCAAAACAACTGAAAGACAGCCTGGATAAACTTACAAGATTATGTAGTCTTATAACTTCCACATATAGATAGTAAACTTGCATCTAAGGAGTTCGGGATGAGTCTTCAGGAACCCAGTACTTCACTCTTCTCTATTTATGGCCATTCTGTTGATAGGGTGGATTTTCATCACTGGAGGCAGACGTTACACTGCTCCTCCCCTCAGGAAATCAGGCTTAGAGGAAGGCAAGTGAAGGCCAGATGGGACTGAGCCTCCACCCAGCTCCCCATGCCCATCCACCCTCTGGTTCTCTACCCTGTGCATCGTCTCTACACAAACAGCAAGCAGCTTTTTACTTTATTCAGTCAAATAAAGGGTAGACCTCTTCATGTAAGATAATGACGTGTTCAGTAATAAAATATTTGAAGTCAGGTTAGACATGTTTTAATGACTGAGTCATATTTTAAAGAAATAAAAGAGATGATGATTCATTGTGCATTTGTTATACCAAGTTTCAGACAAGACTACCATGGGCCCTGGGCACTAAGCATGAGTGAAGCATTTTAGTCTCAGGAAGACAGGTTTTGTACTGTATTCTGTATTACACAGAATCAGAAAGTAGAGAGGTTGGAGAGTCCTAGATAAGATGATAGAGAATGGGTAGGACACCCTTCTCCTGACCAGCAGACTGCTGGTTAACCTCGACTTTGTCCTCACCTAGCTTCCCACATGGTTCATTGATGGCAGTGGGGCATAATGCGTTATCTGCTGAAATGCAAAGGAAACACTGATACATTTTAAATTTATTTCCTCGAGTAAATTGAACTTTCCCCTAAATATCACAGTATTAATGACTTTAAATCTTGGCTCTGCCACTTACTATGTGTAACGTTGAGTAAGTAATTTAACTTTTCTATGTCTCAATTCCTCATCTGTAAAATGAGGTTGACAATAGTGTCCCCTGAGGGTGGTTGGTGAGAATATTACATAAATCAAGATATGTAAACCTCCCAGAACAATGCCTAGTGCATAATACATACTTCATAAGAAGATTCGTTATTTTATTTTCCACAAGTTATTGGGGTGCAGGTGGTATTTGGTTACATGAGTAAATTCTTTAGTGATGTGTGAGATCCTGATGCGCCCATCGCCTGAGCAGTATACAGGCATTGTATTTGTTGCCTTTGTCCCTTGTACCTCCCCCCTCCCCCAAGTCACCAAAGTCCACTGTGTCATTCTTAAGCCTTTGTGTCCTCATAGCTTAATTCCCACATATCAGTGAGAACATACAATATTTGGTTTTCCATTCTTGAGTTGCCTCACTTAGAATAATTGTCACTAGTCTCATATAGGTCATGGCAAATGCTGTTAATTTATTCCTTTTTTTGGCTGAGTAGTATTCCATCATGTATATGTATACCAATTTCTTTATCCTCTCATTGACTGATGGGCATTTGGGCTGGTTCCATGATTTTGCAGTTGTGAATTGTGTTGCTATAAACATGCATGTGCAAGTATCTTTTTCAAACAATGACATTTTTGTTTTCAGGGTAGATATCCAGTAATGCTATTGCTTGATCAAATGGTAATTCTACTTTTAGTTCTTTAAGGAACTCCGGCCTATTTTCAGTAGTGGCTGTACTCGTTTACATTTCTTCTAGGAGTGTAGAAGTGTTCCCTAATCGCTGCAACCACGCCAACATCTACCGTTTTTGTTTTTGTTTTTTAAATGCTTTGATTATGGCCATCCTTGCAGGAGTAATGTCGTATTGCATTGTAGTTTTGATTTGCATTTCCCACATCATTAGTGATGTTGAGCATTTTTTAAACTGCTTGCTAGCCATTTGTATATCTTCTTTGAAGAATTGTGTATTTATGTCCTTCGCCCACTTTTTGACGGGTTTGTTTGATTTTTTCTTACTGATTTGTTTGAGTTTGTTGTAGATTCTGGATAGGAATCCTTTGTCAGAAGTATATATTGTGAACATTTTCTCTCACTCTGTGAGTTAACTGTTTATTCTACTGACTGTTCTTTTTGCCATTCAAAAGCTCTTTAGTTATGTCCCAGCTATTTATCTTTGTTTATATTGCAATCGCTTTTGGGTTTTTAGTCATTAAATCTTTGCCTAAGGCAATGCCTAAAAGGGTTTTTCCAGTGTTATCTTCTGGAATTTTATAGTTTCAGGTCTTAGATTTAAGTCCTTAATCTGTCCTGAGTTGATTTTTGTATAAGGTGAGAGATGAGGATCCAGTTTTATTCTCCTACATGTGGCTAGCCAATCATCCCAGCACCATTTGTTGAAAAGAGTGTCCTTTCTCCACTTGATGTTTTTGTTTGCTTTACTGAAGATCAGTTGGCTGTAAGTATTTGGGTTTATTTCTGGGTTTTCTATTCTGTTCCATGGATCTATGTGCCTGTTTTTATACCAGTACCATGCTGTTTTGGTGACCATGGCCTTATACTTTGAAATCAGGAAGTGTGAGGCCTCCAGATTTGTTCCTTTAACTTAGTATTGCTTTGGCTATGTTGGCTCTTGTTTGTTTCCATATGAATTTCAGAACTGTTTTTCTAACTCTGTAAAGAAAGATGGTGACATTTTGATGGGAATTGCATTGTATCTGTACATTGCATGCATTTGTACATTGCAGTATGCCCATTTTTAGAATATTTATTCTCATCCAGGAGCATGGATGTGTTTTCATTTATTTGTGTCATCTATGATTTCTTTCATATGTATTATGTAGTTTTCCTACTAGAGATCTTTCCACCCTGTTGTTAGATATATTCCTAAGTATATATATATATTTATTTTTTTTAGCAGAAATTGTAAACGAGTTTGAGTTCTTGATTTGATTCTCTGTTTTGTCCTTGTTGGTGTATAGAAGAGCTGATTTGTGTACATTAATCTTGTATTGGGAAACTTTGCTAAATTCTTTCATTAGTTCTATCAGCTTTCTGGAGGAGTCCTTTGGGTTTTCAAGGTAGATGATCATATTGTTAGCAAACAGGGTCAGTTTGATTTCCTCTTTACCTCTTTGGATGCCCTTTATTTCTTTCACTTGTCTGATTGCCCTGGCTAGGATTTCTGGTACTGTCTGGAAGAGGAGTGGTGAAAGTGGCCATCCATGTCTTGTTTTCATTCTCAGAGGGGCTGCTTTCACCTTTTCCCCCTTCAGTATTATGTTGGCTGTGGGTATGACATAGGTGGCTTTTACTAATTTAAGATATGTCCCTTGTGTACCGATTTTGCTGAGGCCTTTAATCATAAAAGGATGCTGGATTTTGTTAAATGCCTTTTCTGCATCTATTGAGATGATCATGTAATTTTTGTCTTCAATTCTGTTAATGTGATGCAGTACATTTATTGATTTGCTTATGTTACCGCATCACTGCATCCCTGGTA